CGCACCCCCTGTGGTGCCGAGGAAGTGCCACGCCTGCCACGCTTTGCGAGGCCGCAACGGATAGGGAGACCAAGGTGAACGCGGGTGCGGCGCGGCAGGGAAGACACTTACGCTACCGAGGAAACCCACATTTTTTAGTCTAATCTTATGTGTTTGCTTTTCAGTATCATCTATGCGCAACCCTGCATTCTAAACCCTCGTCGCTCAGTGCCAGCGCCCCCCATGCGGCGTCGAGGAAATGCCACGCCTGCCACGCCCTTGGAGCCTGCAACGCATAGGGCCCCCACCCCCAGCGCACCCCCTGTGGCGTCGAGGAAATGCCACGCCTGCCACGCCCTGGGAGTTTGCAGCGCATAGGCCCCCCCACCCCAAGCGCACCCCCTGTGGCGTCGAAGCGATGCCACGCCTGCCACGCCATGGGAGCCTGCAACGCATAGGGCCCCCACCCCCAGCGCACCCCCTGTGGCGTCGAGGGGGTGTCACGCCTGCCACGCCCTGGGAGCCTGCAGCGCATAGGGCCCCCACCCTCAGCGCACGCCATGTGGCGTCGAGGAAATGCCACGCCTTCCACGCCCTGGGAGCCTGCAACGCATGGGGCCCCCACCCCCAGCGCAACCCCTGTGGCTACCTCTGCGCACCCTCTCTGGTGTCGACCCTGCCACGCTTTCCGACCCTGGCACGCATAGAGACCGCACTGAGGGACCACCCCCTGCGCACTCTCTCTGGTGTTGAGAAAGGGCCACCCCTGCCACGCTCTCCGACCCTGGCACGCATAGAGACCGCGCTCAGGGACCACCCCTGCGCACCCTCTCTGGTGTCGAGAGAGTACCACACCTGCCACGCTTTCCGACCCTAGCACGCATAGAGACCGCGCGGAGGGACCACCCCCTGCGCACCGTCTCTGGTGTCGAGAAAGTGCCACCCCTGTGCTGCTGTGCTGTGCTGAGCTGTGCTGTGCTGTGCTGTGCTGAACTGCGCTGTGCTGTGCTGTGCTGAGCTGTGCTGAGCTGTGCTGTGCTGAGCTGAGCTGTGCTGAGCTGTGCTGTGCTGTGCTAAGCGTTGGGCTGCAGGTAGCGCACAAACGCCGTTGCTGTACCGTGCTGTGCTGAGCTGTGCTGTGCTGTGCTGAGCTGTGCTGTGCTGAGCTGTGCTGTGCTGAGCTGAACAGTGCTGTCAGGAGGAGGGGAAGAGGGAGGTGAGTGAGTGAGCGCGGGTGAGACGCGGCAAAGGAAAAAACCAGAACCCCACGAAGAATGTGGGGAACCAGAAGCAGTGCTGTGCTGTGCTGTGTGCTGCTGTGCGGTGAGCTGTGCTGTGCTGTGCTGTGTTGCGGTGAACTGTGCTGTGCTGTGCTGTGCTGTGCTGTGCTGAGCTGAGCTGCGCTAAGCTGTGCCGTGCTGAGCTGAGCTGAGCTCTGCTGAGCAGTGCTGTGAGGAGGAGGGGAAGAGTGAGGTGTGTGTGAGAGAGAGAGAGAGAAAAAAAAAAAAGAGATGGAGAGGGAGATGTGCGGGTGAGACGCGGGTGCGGCGCGGCAAGGAAGAAAACCAGAACCCCACGAAGCATGTGGGAAAAACCCAAAGGAAGACCCGAAGACGGCCATTAGAGCCAATCCGCTCCCGCTACGACCCCCCCTGGAACCCCTCCTCAGGGGCTTCGTACCTCGCTCTTTCCGTTACCTGGCCCGGCACAGAAACGGAAAGAGCGCTTCAGAAACAAAAACCCAAATTACTCGTACCACCGTTCGTACCGGAAGCCTTGGCGTTGACAGCTGGTTACGTCACCGCTCGCTCTTGGGAGCCTTGATGTTCAGAGATTGTTGCGTTGCCGCCCGTTCCTGAGCCTTGGCTGGGCCGTGGTGTCAGGAACTTGTTACGTCGCAGCTCTCTGCTGGGAACCTTGGTCTTTTCAGCTTGTTTACGTGACCGTTCGCTCTTGGGAGCCTTGGTGTGAAGAACTTTTTGCGTTACCGATCGCTCTTTATTTGGTGTCTCTGGGCCTTCTTGGGAGTCCGATTGGCGTCCTTTTAGAGCCCTTTTGGATGCCTCTTGGGAACCACTTGGGGGCCTCTTGGGGCTTCTTGGGGGGCTCTTGGGGCCTCCTGGGAGCTTCTTGGGGCGAAAGGCTAGACTTTCGGGTTCGTGGCCCCCCTCTTGGGGCCGTCCTGGGGCCCTCTTGGGCGCCTCTTGGGCCGTCTTGGTGCCCACTTGGGCAGTTTTGGGTGCCTCTTGGGAGCCCCTTGGGCCGTCTTGGGGCGGTTTTGGGGGCCTCTTGGACCGTCTTCAACGCCGTGAAAGCCGAAAAGCCGTGCATCCTAAAAATGTACCGTTCCAATCGGAAATCAATGATTTGGCCCCTGGTGGCCTCTTGCGACGCCTCTTGGGTGCCTCTTGGGGCATCTTGGGGGGCTCTTGGGGCCTCCTGGCAGCGTCTTGGGGCGAGCGGCTAGAGTGTTCGGTTCGGGGCCGTCTTCGGGCCCCCTTGGGCCGTCGTGGGCGCCTCTTGGGCCGCCTTGGGGCCCCCTTGGGCCGTGTTGGGGGCCTCTTGGGAGCCTCTTGGTCCGTCATGGGGCGGTCTTGGTGAAAGCCGGAAAGCAGTAAAAACGAAAAAGTGCAAGTTTCCCCAAGGAGAATCAACGATTCTGGCCCCTCGGGGCCCTCTTGGGACGCCCCTTGGGCGCCTCTTGGGGGGCCTCTTGGGGGGCCTCTTGGGCCGTCTTGGGGCGGTCTTTGGGCTCTCTTGGAGCGCGCTTGGGCCGTCTTGGGGGGGGAACCCGAAAAACATGTTAAAACCTTTGTTTTTTATATAAAAAGCAAGCAAAACAAAAAAAAACGAAAACGGCCATCATAACCCATTCCCCCGGCCTAGCCCCCTCCCCTGGAACCCCTCCCTTTAAGCCTTCGCCCACACCAGAACGTCATCACTCGTACCTCGCTCATTCCGTTACCTGGGCCGATACGGGAACGGAAAGAGCGCTCCCTCTGCACTCCCCCTCTGCACTCCCCCATTAGGGGCTTCGCCCTACTCCAAAACGTCATCACTCGTACCTCGCTCTTTCCGTTACCTGTGCGAGTCTGCTCCTGCCCTTACTCCCCTGGGCCCCTACCTGGAGAGCTTCGCCCCCACTCGTTCCGTCACCCGCTTGGCACGGGGACGGAAAACGCTTGTACTTTATATATCTATATATATATATAAACTATAAACACAAACACGTAGACAAACGCCATGAGCAATGTTGGGGTCGAAGCGGCCCAGAATTGCACACCCCATTTCTGTTTGGAAACCATGTGTTCTCACGAGTGCGAAGCAGTTCTCGTCAGTCGCGCCACGGCTTCGCCAGGAGAAAAAAAGGAAAGCGCTCGTACTCTGAGTGGGCGCGAGGTCGATTGCTCAGCGTCTTGGAGCTTGCTAGACGCTACTCTGGTACTTCACACGAAAAATGGCAATCACGCATGGCCTCCCTGGGCCTTCTTCGAGGTCCCTGTGGGGCTCCTTTGCTTTCTTTGAGCCGTCTTGTGGCGCTCTTGGGCCGTCTTGGAACTATCGTGGGCCGTCTTAGGGCCGTCTTTGGGGGCATCTTCTGCCGTCTTGGGGGGATCATGGGGGCCCCTTTGGGCCGTCGTGGCAGCAGTGAGAATAAAAAAAGCATAACATCCCATAAAGGGAAAAACGGGCGGTGGGTTAGAGGCATGGGTACCTGTTCCTCCTCTGAGAAAATATACCCTTGATTTGGCAGGGTCGACCAACCCAGTCTGGGCCGACTGGACTCAGGATGGCATGCGGGGCAACTTCCCTCTTCAGCACAAGGGGCTTCCGCCTCCATGGCAGGCCCAGGGGAGCGCTCTCGCCGTCCAAGAGGGGACGACGCCTCCCGCAGCCAGAGCGGCTACGTGCGGACTCGGACTTTCATGGAGAGGGAACTGCGGACGGGAGAGCGGAACACACAAGGGAACGAACAATGACGTAAACATAAAAACTCGGAGGTTCGCGCCGATTTCTCGGATCCGCGCTGGACCCCCCTGCGGCGCCTCCGGCGCCGCCCCTGGCGCGCTCCGCGCGCCAAGGAGGGGGGTCAAGCGCCGATTTGAGCAATCCGCGCGGATCTCCGAATCACACATACGCACGGAAAGGGCGCAAGGGCCTTGGGAGGCCATGCCGACGCTGTGCGGGCGGGGCGCGGCCAGCGAACGCGGCCAATGAGTGGACCGAAGGGGACGGGCGCAAGGGTGACCTTGGAAGGTCGCTCATCCTCACTGTTCGGGTTGACTGCGCAGCATCGCTGACCCCTCCTGAGATTACTCTGGTCCTCCAGCTCCGTCTCTGCAGGACCATAAACTGTTGAAGCTACGCGCGGATCTCTTGGATCTCCGCGGAGCGAGCCAGGAGCGGCGCAGAAGGCGCCACCAGGGGCGATCATCATCGAAGATCCAAGAACTCCGCGCGGAGCGTCGAATGTGTATGTTTGTGTCGTTGGTTGTTTCTCGGCTTTCTCCACCGGCAAACTCGAGGTGCTCGGACAACAACGCTCATGTCTGGGAAAGAAGCAGAGGCTCCGAAGCGCCTTGGGTCACCGTGACAAAACCAAGTCAAGGCTGCAGGTCGATGCAGAACAAAGGTCAGGCAGGGTACAGGCCGAGTGCCACTCAGGGCGAAGAGCACATGGGCCGTGAAACCGTAGGCGGGGAGGGATGGTCACAATCAAATCAAACCAAACGTAACCATAAACAAATCTGGGAGGAACATGACCTAACCTCCTCTTCCTCCTCCTTCTCCTCCTCCTCCTCCTCCTCCTCCTCCTCCTCCTCCTCCTCCCCCCTACTCCTTTTCCTCCTCCTCCTCCTCCTCCTCCTCCGTCCTCCGTCCTCCGTCTACGTCTTCTCCGTCTCCTCCTCCGTCTCCTCCATCTCCTCTGGCTCCTCCTCCTCATCCTCTTACTCCTACTCCTACTCCTCCTCCTCCTCCTCCCCCTTCCTCCCCCCCTTCATGGAGGGAGTGCCCCGGGCCTCGACTCCGGCCTCTGCGGGCCCGAGGTCAGCGGGAACCTGCGCGCGATCGCGGCGCGTCGCCGTCGTGGTCGCCGCCGCCCGCCGCCGTCGCCGCCGCCGCCGTCGTCGTCGTCGCCGTCGTCGCCGTCGTCGCCATCGCTGTCGTCGCCGATCGGGGAGGCAGGATCCGAGAGGAGGTGAGGGAGACGGAGGAGGCAGGGGAGGAGGACCGCCGTCGCCTTCTGCCGGGGCTCTTCGGCCTCCTTGGGGCTCTCGGGCCGATGGAGGATGGAGGAGCGAGGCCTCCTCCATCAAGGATGGACGATCGAGGCTCTTGGGTCCATTTTGGAGCTCTTGGGCGCGCAGGCGCGCCTGGGCCTGGCGGCGACGGGGTGGAGTTCGCCTCGGACCTGCCAGAAAGCACCCGTGCGAGGCCCGGCGGGGGGGCGTTGCCGACGACGACGTTGACATCATTTTCGTGGTCGTCGTCGTGGTCGTCGTCGACGTCGCCATCTTCTCATCGCCGTCGCCCCTGTAATTACCACTCCCCCCAATTACTAGACGGCCTCGTGATCGTCGTCGTCCTCCTCATCCTGCCCGTCCTCCTCCTCCGTTGTGATTCTTTGACGGCGCGGCGGTTCCGTCGACACCCTCCCCACCGAAACCTGGCTGCTCGTCGCCGGTTGGAACCCCGACTAGGGAGCCCACAAAGAACGTACGCTCCGAGCAACGTACATGACGCCCCCCCAGTCTGCGAGGCCAATTTTGCGATACGACCGTTCGCGCAACGCGTGCTGTCGAAACCACCGCGGATTCACGCACGCGTGCGTCCTCCGTTCGCTCCCGACCGAGAAACGCCCCCCCAGCCGAGCAGCCCGAACCGCCCCGCCGACGGGCGCCGGAATTCCTTGGAGATGACGGACACCTGAACTGGAAGTCGGCCAACAAAATTCCCACGCCCTGCTTACAAATGCACCGCCTGCTTCACGTTCGCATTCGCCAAAGCCCGCCATGCGAATACCACGGCCTGAGAAGACCCCATAGCCCCGTGGATTACCACGAGGACCGCACACACACGTTCGCGTTGCCTCACCTGGTGTTGGCGCGTTCGTTTCATGAGCTCCTCGTATACACCAAGCTCTCCCGTAGACACCATCCATGATAAAGCATCCACTAGAACCACTGAATATGTTTGTGGCCCTTCTCCACAAACGGTCCTGTCTGGGATCACGCTCGGTGGCTAAGTATGTTCCTGAGTTTGGAGAGCACCTGCCAGTCCTGTTGCAAACAGGCGCAAACGAGTATTCGGTCATTCAGGGAGCGAAAAATGACATGAACATAAAAACCCAGAGGTCCGCGCGGATTTCTTGTATCCACGCTGGACCCCCTCCCTGGCGCGAGGAGCGCGCCAAGGCCGGCGCCGGAGACGCCGCCAGGGGGCCCCAGCGCGGATCCGAGAAGTCCGCGCGGACCTCCGAGTTGCTCTGTTAATGTTATTTTTCGTTCCCCTAATCATAAGCCTGGTGTAACCCTGAAAGGTCTACAGAAGTCCCCCCCCAGTAAGGGGTACTTGAGTATCGCTCCGTGAAGGACTCGGGGTCCCACCAATGGGGGGTGAACTGATCATTGTTTGCCGCCGTACACGCCGCGCCACAGCGACGACGACGACAACTACGACTACGATTGCGACTAACCGACCGCAGGCGATAATAATACCCCAGAGGTAATAAAAGTTCGGGGGTCTGGCGGGGATAATCAACGAATTCCCCAGGGGAGGTGATGTCAGTTAGATCTTCGCTATGAGGGTGATGATGGCGATGATCAAGATGATGGCAACTAACCAAACTTGAAAATACTGCTCATCCTTGCTACGCGGGTTGACTGAAGTAGTAGTAGTAGTGGTAGTAGTAGTAGTAGTAGTAGTAGAAGTAGTAGTAGTAGTAGTAGTAGTAGTAGGAGTAGGAGTAGGAGTAGTAGTAGGAGTAGTAGTAGTAGTAGTAGTAGTAGTTATAGTAGTAGTAGTAGTAGTAGTAGTAGTAGTAGTAGTAGTAGTAGTAGTAGTAGTAGTAGTAGTAGTAGTAGTAGTAGTAGTAGTAGTAGTAGTAGTAGTAGTAGTAGTAGTAGTAGTAGTAGTAGTAGTAGTAGTAGTCGTAGTAGCAGCCAGTACGTAGTCGTAGTAGTAGTCGTAGTCGTAGTAGTAGTAGTAGTAGTAGCTAGTAGTAGTAGTAGTAGCAGTAGTAGTACCGCCCCCCCCTTTGATTTGACCCCGATACCCGCTTCCTGGGGGACTTCCCCCCCCTCTGCCCCTCCCTCCCTGAGGAGTCCAATCATTCGCTTCATGGGGGGAGGCCGCGGCCCCATGAAGCGAATTCCGCATGCTCGGGGGGCGAAAGTCCAAAAAAACACAGGAAACAAACAAAAAAAAAAAAAAAAAAAAAAAAAAAAATCCTGGCGAACTTTTCGCCCTCCCCACCCCCTCCGAGGAATTCCTCAGGATTGTTTTTTTTGTTTTTTTTTGTTTTTTTTTGTTTGTCCTTGTTTTTTTTTTGGGTTTTTCGGCCCTCCACCCTTCCCCCTGGGGAGCGGGCGGCCCCAGGAGCCCCCAAGAGGACCATGGGAGGCACCAGAGAGCCCCCAGAGAGGCATGATGAGAGGGGGGATTCTGTAGCAGTTGTTGGCACTACCAAAGCACCAGGAAGCACCAGCCAACCACTACTGCTACTGCTACGGCTACTGCTACTACTACTACTACTACTACTACTACTATTACTACTACTACTACCACTACTACTACTATTACTACTACTACTACTACTACTACCACTACTACTACTACTACTACTACTACTACTACTACTACTACTATGACGACTATTACTACCACTGCCACGACAAGTGCCACGACTACGATTACTATTACCACTACTACTACTACTTCTACTACTACTACTACTACTACTACTACTACTACTACGGCTACTACTACTACTACTCCTACTACTACCCCTTATTACTACTACTACTACTACTACTACTACTACTAGTACGACTACGACTAGTACTATTACGACTACCTTTATCATTGCGACTACTATCATTAATTATGGTAGGACGTATGTTTCGATTACCGCTATGAGTACTACGACTACTGCTACTACGACTACTACTACTATTCTGACTACGACTACGACTACGACTACTACTACTACTACTACTACTACTACGACTACTACAACCACTTCTACGACTACTCCTTCGACTACTTCGACGGCGGCTACCACGACTCTTGTTGTTACTACTGTCACTACTACTGTTACTACTACTACGCCTACGTCTACGATTAGGAAAGGTTTTCTTTTCCCACTATGATTATTACTGGTGCTAGCACTATCACTCCTACTACTACTACTACTACTACTACTGCTACTACTACGACCACTACTACTAGTACCACTACTACTACGTCTACTACTACTACTACTACTGCTACTACTACTACTACTACTAGTACTAGTACTACTACTACTACTACTACTGTTACTACTACTACTACTACTACTACTACTACGACTACTACTACTACTACTATTACTACTACTATTAGTGTTGCTGCTACTGTTTTTAGTGCAACAACTATTTCTACTACTACTACTACTATCACTATTACTTATTCCACGAGTACTACTACGACGATCAGTATTACCACTACTACTACTTCTACTACTACTACTACTACTACTACTACTACTACTACTACTACGACTACGACGTACTACTACTACTACTACTACTACTACTACTACTGCTACTGCTACTACTACTATTATTGTTGCTACTACTACTACTACTACTACTACTACTACTAATATTGCTACCTCTACTAGTACCACGACTACGACGACGACGGCGACGACTACCATTACCACTACCACTACGAATACGACTACTACTAACACTACTATTACTTTTACTACTACTACATATACTACTACGACTACTACGACTACTACGACTACTACTACTACTACTACTACTAAAACTACCACGACTACTACTATTACTACCATTTCTACGGCTGCTCGATTGCTACTTCTACGACTTTCATTACCACTACTGATACGCTTACGATTACTACTACTACTACTACTACTACTGGTACTACGACTACTACCTTTACTATTACTAATACTACTACTTTTACTACTGTTACTATTATTACTTCTTTCACAACACTACCACGACTACTAGTACTACATGTACTACTACTACTTCTATTACTACTACTACTACTACTACTACTACTACTACTACTACCACGAGTACTACTATTCATACTACTACTACTACTACTACGACTACTACTACTACTCCTACTACTACTACTACGATTACCTGTACCAGGACTACGGCTACTACTCCTACTACTACAACTAGTATTGCTAACATAACGTCTACTACTGTTACTACTGCTTCTACTACTACTACTACCGCTCAGCATGTGGCGACCACATACCCGCCTCGCATGAGCCCCGCGAAAACGAACGCCGCCTCCCTCGCAGCGACGTCGGGGAGGGGGCGTATCGGGGTCAATAGTAGTAGTAGTAGTAGTAGTAGTAGTAGTAGTAATAGTAGTAGTAGTAGTAGTAGTAGTAGTAGTAGTAGTAGTAGTAACCGTAGTAGTAGTAGTAGTAGTAGTAGTAGTAGTAGTACTAGTACTAGTAGTAGTAGTAGTAGTAGTAGTAGTAGTAGTAGCCGTAGTAGTAATAACCGTAGTAGTAGTGGTAGTAGTGGTAGTAGTAGTAGTAGTAGTGATATTTAGGAGTACTAGCAGGAACGGAAGAAGAAGAAGAAGGAGGGTGGGAGAAGAAAGAGAGCAGAGGATGGTTGGATTCGGGGCCTTAGGTTTTTCATTGATAAAACTGTTTATTTTTTTAGTCGCGTTCAATCTCGCATCTAGGGGTGTCCATGGTGGGACCCAGCGGGGGGTACAAAAAACCGGGGAAACAGAAGTTCAGGCCCTGGGGTGGGAGGAGGGGGAGGCGGAGAACGAGGAGGAAGAGAAAGAAGAGGAAAATGAAGAGGAGGAAGAAGACACGGAAGAGGAAGAGGAGGAGTCGAAGAGCGTTGTTGATGCTGTTGCTAGTTTACATGAGATGATAGCAACTTCAATTCGCAACTTCCCCGGTCCACAATTGAATCCTATTGAACGGAGATACTAAACATAGAGGAGGTTATGGGGGGGGTACTTTATAATCGCCCGCACGCGATTCTGTGGAGGAGGAGGCGGAGGAAGAGAAGGAAGAAACGGAGGAGGAGGAGGGAGAGTTGAGGAGGAGAATGGAGGAGGAGGAGGAGGAGGAGGAAGGGGGGAGGAGGAGGAGGAGGAGGAGGGAGTAGGAGGAGGAGGAAAAGGAGAAGGTTTTCGGACCAGTCCCATTCACCGCCGAAGTAATAGGAGGGGACCAAACCTAAAGACCTCTAGCGGCTCATTGTTTCATCCAGCACCCTGGCGCTCAGTGCAGGCTGGCCCACAAGAAACCCTCCACAGGAAACCCTCCACAAGAGACCCCAGGGCATTTGGTTCGGGAACGTCGCGCCCTCCATCGCAGAGCCATCGAAACCCAAGAAGCCCAGGACACCCTGGAAGCAGGCAGGGCGTTCTGTGGCCTGGGTCTCCACCGCATAGCACCGAGCCGTGTGTGGGTCCCCGACGTGCGGGGGGCCGCCTCCCAGAGAGGCCAGCCACTGGAGGCCGACCAGCATCAAGGCCTCCGCCCTGCTGCCTCCACGGTGGGCATGTCGCCGCGGGCGGCGCGCACCCAGGGGTGGGGCCGGGGGGGCCAGCCTTGTCGAGAGTCGGAGGCGAGCGAGGGAAGTGACAAGGAGAAGGCCCCTTCCCAGGAGGCGGCGGGGCTTGTCAGAAGCCCTCGCGCCTTCTGAGAAAATATCTTGTCTTCGGGGAAGGCTTAGAACACGTCTCGGAAGGCCAAGGGACTTCCGAGCCTTCTGAGAAGCCCGCCCCCTCTCACTTCCCCCCCTCGCTCGCGGCCGAAAGAAGGAACCCACGAAAGGCATACACGCCCAACCATGTACATGTACATGAACACGGCTCCCCAATCCAGGAATCCGACATAGATTCACGTACGTGTACGTCCTTCTTTCGCTCCTGATCTAGACGGGGGACGCCATAAACATCAAACATTACTATTCTTGAGCATTCCTCCTGTAGAGGGGCACGCCCGACTTAACCCTATCGGGCGTGGCGAGGGGCTGCGGCAAGCCTCTCCACCCTCTGCTGGATGATCTTCTGCTGAGATTCCAGCTGGGACTTCACCTGGCCCGCGGGGCGCCGCGGCTGCGCCGCAAGTGAGCACCCGAGGCGACAACAAGAATACAACCGACACTGTGGGCAAAAGGATGCAAACAAGAAGTCGGGCGAGACAATCGGACGTGCGTGCGACGGAAGAACACCCGTCAAGAGCATGAGACCCTTCGCCGGCCAGAATACCCCAAACCACAAGATCACTCGAGGGTACCCTCCCCCAGGATGCACAACACCATCCGACAACCACGAACAAAACCAGGGCGCCCTCCCCGAACCGACCTCGATCTGACACCTCGGTCCGACTGTGATGGTGTAACATCTGATTGTTTGGAGGCGGCGACGGCGACGACGACGAGCTGGGCTTTGGGCAAACCAAGAAGTACAATTACTGCTACTCCCCGGACCTCTCACGGGGTGCGTTCTGACCAGAACTTCGAGGCGAATCCAGCGGTGGTGACGAGGGCGCCCGAGGAGGCCCAGAAAAGGGGAAAACGGGCGAAGGGTAGCGGTATGGGTATCCTTTTTTCCTCCTCCGAAGAACATCTGCGCAACAGTCGACTTTCACAAGGAGGGCGCTGCGACCCCACCCCCGTGGGCAGCTCCTGGCCGCTATTGGTCGCACGTGATCCGTGGCGAGCCGCCGTGCCGTGGAGGAGAGCCCGTCAGCGCCGTGGCGTCGTGAAGGCAGGCCAATGCCCGCAGACACAGGAGAAGCAAGAGGCATCGTCGGGCAATGCTGCTCCCATCGTACTGGAGGACCACATCCCAGAAATCGGTTCGAGCACCCAGAAAAGTGTCGAAACAGCGTCGAACGAGTATCGCCTCCCAGGTGCCGGACACATGAAAACCTTCCAGTGACGGTTTTTGTTCTTCGTGCTCGAAGCTCTTTCTGGTGATCAAGGCTAAAGTAGGTTGGAATATCATAACAGTAGGGGCTCGACCGCAAGAGACCTTCCACAAGAAACCAAGCCCTGAGACCCCAGGACGTCCATTGGCATTTCTGGTGTGGGGACGTCGCGCTCTCCATCGCAAAGCCATCGAAACCCAAGGAACCCAGGGCACCCTGGAGGCAAGCAGGGTGCTTCTTGGCCTGGGTCTCCACTGTACGTGGCACCGTAGGTTGTATAAACTTTGCAGCCGCCCGGGGGCAGGCGCCCCCGACGGCGGAAAGATCTGTTACATACGGTTCGTCGCCCCCTCAAAAAACTCGCCCTGCTCCGAGCAGGTCTTCCGCTGGAGATGTCCAAGGGTGCGCTCTGGCCAGGATTTCGAGGGGGAATCGGCCGTGGCGCGCAGGGGGTGGGACCCACGCCCCCCCCACAAAGTTTCAACCCTCGACCTGGTGGTGTCGTGTCTCCTCTCTGCGATCGGCCCTGTGGTCCGCGCGGACCCCACATGGTTGTTTGAGTCTTTGGGTTTCTGTTTTTTTTTCGGCCACAGCAGGACATCGACTTTTCATGTTTGTTGGGATAGCCCGAGGTTATCTGGTGATAGTGGGGGTGGGAGGCGCCGGCCGATAACTGAACCCTTTGGTACTGGGCAGCCCCACCCTGTCCATCGAGCCCAAGAGGCAGCGGCGGCGGGGGGCTGGCGTTCTGGTAGCGCTGCAGCAAGCGCTCCAACTCGCCCTTTCTGGCCTGCTTCTGCTCCTCCCTGCCGGACCTGGCCCGCGCGCGCGCGCGTCGTCGCCGCGGCAGCCTTTGGCGGCCCTCGGCGAACTCGGCGGCCTGCGGCGGCCCTGGGCGGCTTTCTGCAGCCCTGGGCGGCTGCCTTCGGCAGCTCCTATCGGACATTGGCGGCCCTCGACAACCCTCGGCGGCCTTCGGCGGCCTTCGGCTGAGGCAAACCGCCGAAGGCCAGCCGCGCGGAGGTCGGCGCCGGCAGCCGCTCGGCGGCCGCGCGCGCTGGTCGTCGCCGTCGTCGCTCGAGGATGGGGGATTTCTGGCGACTTGGGGGCGGATTGGAGCGTCTTGGGGCGCCTCGGGGGGGGCGCTCTGACGCTGTGATGCCTGAGCGTACCACTGGCCCAATGGTGACAGATTCGTTGTTTGACAATTCCCCCGGTACTGTTGCGACATGGTGCAACATCAGTGGCTGCGTCATGAAAACACTCTGCCATGAACACTGTCTGGCTAGCTTCGTGCCCGACATTTGGCGACTTGTCGCTTTAATGTCACAGGCGTGATAAACGCAATGGCAAATTTGCCCCCACCAAATGAAATCGTTTCCATCCACGCAGTTTCGGGAAACGATTGCGCAACTGTCGTACATGTCGGGGCGTTGCGAGGGCGCATCCAGTCCTCGCCGTAGCGCAGCTGCACTCAGCGCGAGCGCGCGCCAGAATCACTGCGATGTATTAGCGTAGATTTTGCCAAGCGTCAACTCCCGATCGATGGCGCAACTCTTCTCTTATTTGTGAGGGTACGTGCCACGCTGTTAGATTAGCTGACGTGCCTTGTCTCACCCATAGTCCGCAAGCACTGAAAACGAAATGCGTACCAAAAAATTCAAATCTGGTGACTATCCAGAGATGCTGTGTTCACTACCTCGCAAAGGCTGTTCGCACTAAGTTTCCAACAACAAATACGTATTTGCCAACTTCCACCCCAGAGTTTCTAGCAACATCTCAACTCCGGTGGGGATTGGCGAGCGCGCACCAATGGGTCAGAACGGACCAAAACGAGAAATCATAGAAAAATGCAAGCTCGATGCCTAGGCCGTCCACGAGGTCGCATGAACAGGTCAGCGGCACACCGGGCAGGAGGGCCACGGGAAGCCATGGGGACACCCAAAACTTTGTGACTGGGTTGGTTGGCGCGTGCATGGCTTTCGAGTCGGAGATATACTGCATAATTGATTTACCCTACATGGAAAGTTTCGCCGAATCTACAAACCATGCGCAGAATGTCCCGCAGATCTACGAGCATTCTGCGAATGTGTCGTAGGATGCACGATAAGAATACAACGGCCTTGAAAGGCCATGCTGACACTTTGCAAGCTGGGCACGGCCAACGAAAGTGGCCAAGAATGGGTCGAAGGAGAAGGGTGCAAGGGAAACCTTGGAAAGTCGCTCATCCCTACTATGTAAAGACCTCCCAGATGGGGTCGGAGTAGATGGGGTCGGAGGATCGCGCCGCATCGTCGATGCATCACCGATGCGTCGATGGATGCATCGGCGATGCATCGGCGACGTCGGCGATGCATCGACGACGTCGGCGTGGAGAAAATCGGGCTCCACATCGAGCCGCATCAGCAATGTCTCGGCGATACGGCGCGATCCTCCGACCCCATTTACTTCTACCCCATCTGGGAGGCCCGGAGTACATCGCTTCTGCAGCCGATCTTCTGCAGTAGGAGCTCGACTACAAAAAACCTTCCAAGGAACCCAGATCCCCCGAGACCCCAGGACGTCCATTGACTCTTTGGTGTGGGAACGTCACGCTCTCCACAGCAAAGCCCTCGAAACCCAAGAAAATCCAGGGCACCCTGGAGGCACGCAGGATGTGTCTTGGCATGGGTTACCACTGTAGAGTTCAGTCGGGCATGTACTCCTACAGGCGGATTTTGAAGACAAATCAAAACATAGCCAACAACTACTCAAAGAGATTCGAAAATAGTCAAACAAATCGTCACCAGATTTTGACTATTTGGGAATATTCCTCCTGTAGAGAGGGACATGGCCGACTTAACTGTAGAGTCAATCCCTTCTGCAATCGACCCCTCCTGCTCGAGGCCTTTGCTGCAGGTGGGCCCGGAGGGACCCGCGCCCGCTCCCTGCAGCCCGCGGGGGGGGGGGGGAGGGCGAGGAGGGCGAGGGCGGGCAGGCCTCCTGCAAGGGGCCCAGCGGCGTTAAACACCAACACATCGACACAGGCTCCAGGACTGGTCCGGTGCTTTGGAACAAATGTCCTGGGCTTCGACGGGAAATCCTGGCTGTCGAAGACGAAGCCAGCACGGAGATTCAATTTCGGGGGAGGGATAAATCGAGATTCCTCGGAGATCTGGGACTCTGGAGGATGTATCAGGCGTCGCGGCCTGCTCAGAGCGTTCCGCAGAGCTCTGAGAACATTCCAGAACGCTCTGAGAGTCTTCTGGAACGCTGTGAAACGGATTGTTCCTCGTCCTAGCCCCGTCCGAGTTTCCCGCTTCTTTTCCATTTCCCATACTTCGCCCTACTCCAGCGAACATCATAATGAATGTGTATTTGTGCCGATGCTTCCCTTCTGGCTCGGGGGGGGGGGAAACCCGTGGGCGCACCCCCCCTGGTAGAAGGTTTCGGCAACAGAGCGTCAGCAACGTCGTCGTCGTCGTCGTCGCCGTCGTCGTCTCGATGATCCTCAGAACGTGTGTTAGCCCCAACGTGTTTGTCCGTGGAGGCCCTGGGACACGACCCAGGCGATGTAATGATGATTGGGCTGCAGGGGGTAAACACACATTGGGCTAACACACGTCCTGAGGATCATCGATCGTCGTCCCCCTTCAGGGTCGGCGGCACTGGCCGCAAGGCCTTTCCAATCAGCTTTTCGCTGTAGTTGCGCCGATGTCTCCCTCGCGCCTCCTGCAGGACAAGGCCGGAGCCTCTCGCAAACGGCCCCCGCCACAGATTCTTTCTCCCATCGGATATAGGATGTGTGCGCTTTTTAACGCCTGGAATTCTGTCTTGACCGACAGTCACCTGTTCTGCGTGCTGTCGGTATCGCCGGCGGGAAAGCTTTCTATGGACTGCCACGGGAGCGGGAGCCGGAGGGCCAGGACGGAGGAGCAGAAGCCGGCACAGGCACAGACCTTCGGAGGGCCGCGCCCCCTTCTTGGATCGGGGCTGGAGCCCCCCGGCGGCGCCTCCGTCGCCGCCCTCGGCGCGCTGCGGGCGCCAGGGAGGGCGGTCCGACGGCGACCCAAGAAGTCCGCGCGGACCTCGAGAAATTCATGCGTAGACAGTTTTCCACCGCTCGAAAGGAGGAAGAATAAGAAGAAGAAGAAGAAGGAGAAGAAGGAGAAGAAGGAGGAGAAGAAGAAGGAGAAGAAGGGAGACACGATGGAGCGCGCATACATGGGCAGCTTCTGATTATTATGATCCCTATTGGAAGATGGTTTTATCAAGGGATCCGATGAAAGAGATCACAGAAGAATGTCGCAAAAGCGTTCCGCGACCCCCCCAAAGATACGTTAGCACGTTGGACGGACCTAAAAGACTCACCCACGCCCAAATGGCAAGGGGAGCGCTGTACTTCAAGGGAGACCACATGGAAACCAAACAAGACAATAAGAAACTACAACAAACGACGGACTTACTGCTCATACCGGGACCATTCGTACATTTATGGAAAGAGTCGGAAGTAATCCGGAAACAAGACGGACCATGATACAACACAATGCGATCGATTGACATCAGTCGAAATCCTTACGAGAGCCACGGGAAGGCAAGCCTCCCCTTTGCCCTTTCATCTCCTCCTCCGCCTCCTCCTCTCCTCAGCTACAGCCGGCATCCTCTCATCAGCTACGATGCTGACACCAGCTCGCGCGAGAAGAAGTCATGGGAAGATTGGACACAGCGCCAAAAGCTACCCTCAACCCTGTATGTTGGCTTGGGGATGGCCCGCAGCAACTTGAAAGGACTCGGTCGACTAACCGAAAGCGGCCTCCGAACCGTTCGCACCGCTGTAATCCGCCCTGGCCCTGAAAGGTCACTAGAACCCCCCCAATGGGGGGTAGCTAATTATTTCTGCGGCGGCCTCATTGAGGGACAAGGGTCCCATTAATAATGGGTAACATATTCTTTCTGTTCCGCAGCACCTGCCGCGGAACAACGACGACGGCAGCTACGATGGCGGAGGACGAGGAGGAAGAGGCTTTACGAACAATCCTGTTTACCGCTGGGAGAAAAGGAGGGGGGACCAAAGCTAAAGACCCTCAACGGATACTCCTCTCCTCCTGCTCGTCCTGCCCCCGTCCCTGGGACGCGCCCCCCCAAAAAAGGTCCCAAAAAGGGCCTAGGCACAGCGCCTCCGCCGCGGCCGCTGCGCCCGAAGCGCTCTCAAAAGCCTTCCCTTGGCACAGGGGGGGGGGGCTGCTCGCTCGACTCGGCGGCGAGCCCAGGGGGGCACAGGCACAGGCACAGGCGCACGCCGACGCAGGCACGCTCGACTCGGCACGCGCTGGCGCACAGGTGCGGCCAGGCAGGCAGACGCGCAGGCATGCAGGAGCTCGGCGGCGAGCCCGGGGGACGCGAGAAGGGGCGGGCCCTCTCAGGAGGCTCGGCCGTCCCCTGGCCTCATGAGAGGTGCTCGACGCCTCCCCCGAAAAAGCACATGGAACCTCTCGGAGGGCGCGAGGGCTTCGGGGAAGCCCCGCCGCCCTCCGAGAAGGCCTTCCCTCCTCGCTCCCCCCCTTCGCTCGCCGCCGATTGACAAGGCCACGTCTCGTGCGTGTGCGCGTGCGCGCGACGTGCGTGCCCGCGCGTCTGTGGATGCGGCTGCGCCTGAGGCTACGCTGGAGCCGCCCATGCGGCTGTGGCCGTGCCCGTGCCCGCCTCGGCGCTCGTGCGCGCGGGGCTTCGCGCGCCCGTCTTGGGCGGGGGGGCGGACTGAATCCGCTTCAGCAGCCCGCCCATCTCGAGCTGCTGCTTGTGGAGAAACTGCTTCTCCAGGGACTCTATCTTGGCCTCCCGTTTGACCTGGCGGCGGCCGCTGGAGACTGCATCCTGGCGGTCTCCGAGAGAAATAGAGAGATAGAGAGAGAGGGAGAGAAAGGAAGAGAGAGAGAGAGAAAGAGAGAGAACGAGAACACCAACGACAGCACTAAACAATAACATCTGCAACGACAGCAGCAGCAGCAGCAACAGCAACAACACCAATAATCACACTAACAAAGCAACAGCAGCAGTAGCAGCAGCCGCAAGAACGACACCACCGACATCAACAACCACAACAGCAACAACAACAGCAACAGCAGCAACAGCAGCAACACCAAACAACAAAACCAACAACATCAGCAACACCAACACCAACACCAACACCAACACCAACACCAACACCAACACCAACAACAACAACAACAACAACAACAACAACAACACCAACAACAGTAACGACAACAGCAACAGCAACACCAGCAACAGCAACAACACCAACACCAACGCCAACGCCAACGCCAACAACAACCACAACATCATCAACACCAACAACAAAAACAACAGCAACAACAACAACAACAACAACACCAACAACACCAACAACAACAACAACAGCAGCAGCAATAACAACAACAACAACAACCACAACAACACTACCAACAATAACAACAGCACCACCACCACCACCAACAACAACAACAACACCAACACCAGCAGCAACAGCAGCAGCAGCAACAACAACAACAACACCATCACACAACCTCAATCACAACGCCTGGAAATCCACGTTGGCTGTTTTTTGGTCGAGGCCGGACCCTTGGCGTTGGAGAAGACGCCCGCCGGGTGTGGCCTCCGAAAGCTCCCGATGGAACAAGGTTGGACGCCCAGTCCGGGGACCTGCCGGGAGACACCCGCTCCGCTCGTGCGCCGAAGCTGTGCCGAACGCCCGTCGATTTGAGTCGATCCTGAGTCTGCCCTGAGTCGACCTTGCGTCGAACTTGGGTCGAAGCCGAGCCGAATCTGAGCCGAAGCGGGGTCGAACTAGAGTCGAACATATCCGTTTGGTGGGCCCCGGGAAGGTCCCCCAAATGAGCCTCCAGACTTTTCCCGTCGGCGGTGAGGCGGAGGCGATCCGCACCAGCGTCGGGTCAAACGGGGGCACCGGCACTGGAAAACAAATGGACCGGCGTGCAGGGAGAGGGGAAACAAACGAGGGACCAGCCGCTGGGCGGGGGGAAAAAACGGGGGGGGTGCGCTCAGATGTGGAAGAGTTCCAGGTCGAGCGGGCCGGTGTGGCCGGCCAGGACGGCGGGGCCGCGGCAGTGACCAGGGCGGAACCCGGGCACACCCGCGGACGCCAGCCAGGGCTGCAGGCGCGAAGCGTAGAGCAGGGGATCGTTCATTCGGTTTCTGAGGAACTGGATGGCGCTTCCAGGTTCTGGCCATGTGGGGGCCCACGGCCGCCTGGTGGCCGCAACAGGTGCGCCAGCAAGCCTCTCTCCGGGCTCTTCCGCCAGGTGGGCGCCCGTGGCGGCCTCTCTCGCTGCCGCCCAGTGCGCTGGCGGGCACTTCTGAGCTGCCCACATCTATTTCGGCGGCGAGCGAGGGGGGGGGGAAGGGAGAAGATAGGAGGCCTTCTCGGAAGGCGGCGGGACCTCTCAGAAGCCCTCGCGCCTTCTGAGAAAACTGCTGTGTCTTCGGGGAAACTCCGAAAACTCCTCAGAAGGCCAGGGGGCTTCCGAGCCTTCTGAGAAGGCCCGACCCTTCTCACTTCCCCCCGGGCTCGCCGCCGAATACTGCACAATCTGTTGCACCACACAGCTTGCGCAGCATACATATATATATATATATACATATATATGTATTGGAACATATACCTTGCCCTGTGCTGGTCGGTCAAAGACCTTGGCTCGACCTATCAGATGTCCATACGGTGCCATCTCGGGGGCGCTTCTGGGCCCGCGGGCTGGTGTAAGCCCGTGTGCGACCACGTGCGCTGGCACTCGGTTCCAAGTTTTCAGGCAGTGCCCGCCCGTTCTAAACTCGTGGGCGCTTGCCAGAGACTCTGGGTGCACACTAGATTGCGCCACAGAGCTTGAAGATCATACATTCGAACAGGTCTGGCACAGCAAAACTGCACGACATAGGTTCGGCCCCACCGATTGCACCACGAACAACGTGGCACCGAGATAGCACCACAGATATCAGAATGCAGCAGGTGCCACATCGCTCACACCGCATAGGTTGCACACCCTTGTGCTGTGCAACATTGGCTGCACAACGTATGTCGCAACAAAAATATTGTACCACACGTATTCCACCGCATAGATTGCGTCGATAAATGTTCGATACATGAATATGTGTTTTGCGTATGTGTGAGTGTGCGTGTGTAGCTACATACCTAAACTCACCAACCCTCTTGGCGCGGGTCGTGTAGCAATTCGTCATGGCCCTTTTTCTTGAACGCCTTCTTCTCCTCTTCAGGGAGGGGGGTTACCCCTCTCCCCTGGGGATTTGGGAGAACTGCGATGTACCGGCCCAAGATGGCCACCGACGCCCAAAGATAACCTCCAGGATGGCTCAGTATAGCGGGATATGGCTCATGGTAGCCTCCGACATTCATCCCAAAAGCCCCAACCAGGCCGCAGGACGACTCCAAGTGTTCCCGGCGCCCCGAAAAAAATCACCGTTCCCAAACCTACAAGCCATCAGTGAATTGTGTCTCATCGCCTTTTTCCCTGCTGCCCCCGAGAACCTCCAGAGGAGCACAAGACAGCCTAAATACTCTCAAGAGCGTCCCAAGAGACAATCGTTCGGTTTGCGGTGGGAGGGCGTCATTGAAGCCGCCCTCTGGCCATTCCCCCAACATGGCTCCAAGATGCGCCTGCTGCCGCCCACTAGGCGAAACCTCGCCATACCCGCCCAGCGTAAGGATCGCCCACGAGGCGCCCACAGCCGCCCAGCAGGCGAAAACTCGCCACTCCCGCCCAACACAGAGCGCGCCCACGAGGCAACCACGACCGCCCACTAGGCGAAACCTCGCCACACCCATCCAACCCCTCATCAAGCTACGAAAGGAAGATACTCCGAATGCATGTTCTCTGTGGGGAAGAAGACTCTCCCGGGGAAGGGGTCGAGATTCCGGGGGGAGCGGGCTGCTGGAACACGAGAAACGACGTATGGGCTCTGGAGGGAGAAAGCGGATGCAATCAAAGACTGCGACGATTGAAAGATCTTGTCATTGGGGCCGCCCGAGGCGTCCTCATCGCAACAGGCAGATCCGGCTCGAGATGCTGGTCAGAACGCGCGGAGAGATGGGGGGGCGATTTGGGATAAGGCAGAGGGGAGAAAAGGTTAAGTAATAAAGGTACCCCTGACCCTGTGGGAGGGGACTCATTTGAACGACGATCCAAAACGGGTCTTGCGCGAGATGACGTAGCGACCTTACGCTGTGGCTTACGCGGGGCACCAGCGCGACACGCTACTTTGGAGACGAGGGCGCGTACGCGCGACCTTATATCAGGAGGGCCAGAAGCATCAGGGATGGTGGGTCTTTCTGCAGATGTGTGGAACCAGACCGCACGAACTTCTCATCCCTAATTCTAAGACGGGGGCCTAGGTGAGGCCACATCTTCATCGTGTTCTTAGGGTTAGGGTCTCTGTTGCTCTCGAGGAGAGATGGAGAGAGAGAGAGAGAGAGAGAGAAAAAAAAAAAAGGAGGGAAGGGAGGAGGGGGGGGCCAGCAGTCGAGGCTCCAGGGTTGGCGCTATGTCCTGGGGCCCGCGGTCCGCAATCATGGGGGAGGGAAGGGGGCACAAAAGACCGAAGCAAAGCGAAGCGAAGCGAAACGAATGCTGGAGTCGTGCGTGCCCCTCTGGGGAGCTCGCCCGTGCCCATTAAGGCATGGCATGGAGGCCGTGGCCTCGACAGGAAAATCCTCTACTCAGACTTGTGAAACGAAAAGCCGAAGGGCCAACCGAAGGGCCGAGAAGACGGAGCGCGCGCGCACAGCCAGCTAGGACAGACCGAGACGGCAGAACGGGACCGGGGGGGGGGTTCTGATGGGCCCATGTTCCACCACCACTACTGTATGTAGGAGGGAGAGGGGAAAGAGAAGGAGGAGGAGGAGAAGGAGGAGGGGCAGGAGGAGGTGCAGGATGAGGAGCAGGAGGACCTCCTCATCCTCCCTTCTCCCCCGTCCTACACATGGTAGCGGTGGTGGAAATTTGGCCCGTCAGGATCGGCACCGTCTGACCTGTCGTGTGAGACGAAGCAAAGTCTGGACTAAGTCGGACGGAGATACTCCAGGATCTGAGATCTGGCAGTCTGGATATTGTCTCGACCGCCGCGGCCGTTCCACAGAGCAACGGGAAATTCTGGGAGCGTTCTGGAACGCTCTGGAATGATACACCGGACCCACCAGATGGGTCTGGAGGACGTATCAGGCGCCGCCGGCCATTCCAGAACGTTCCGCAAGGCCCTCAGAGCGTGCCAGAACACGATGGGGCGATCTTCAGGCCTGCCCGATGCCCACCGAGGAGGTCAGCCGGCGGTGCTAAAGAAAGCCCTGCCCGCTGGGGACGGGGATAGGTTTGCTGACGAGGCTGCGGGGAGGACGGCGGGAATCGGGGGGACTCGCTGGCACAAATCAACCGAGGCCGCGTCGCGAGCACGGGCCGTCCACGTAGCAGCCAGGACGGGAACGATGTCGTGATGCGGTTGGCTCAAAACACGTTTCAGGAATTCTGGCGCATCTGCTGGGGTCCTCGCTTCCGCGTCCCGTGTGGAGCCTTAGGCGAGCTTGGAATCACCGGAAGTTTTGTAACGTGTCATTGTCATGACCAATTGCTCCTCTGAGCGCGCGGCATCTGCGATGCATCGCCAATGCATCGGCGATGCATCGGCGACTTCGGCGATTCATTTGCATGCATGGGCGACGTTGCCGTGCAGAACATCGTCATCCACATCGAGCGGTTCTTCGACCCCATCTACTCGGACCCCATCTGGGAGGCCCAGAAAAAACAATCGGACCTAGGACAGAA